GGTTATTTTTAGAGAGCAGAGATGAGCGCGCACTGTAAACACAAACACGGACGATAGTAACAGTTCGAACTTTAACATGTGCAAATTTTGAACACTCGCTGGTCAAATTCAGTGTTTTTTGTGTTCCTGTATTCCGTGCTCATTTTCTAAGTGAAAATAAGTGAACACACCCTCTACAGACATAATGATTTAATGGAGAATGTGTGTATATGGTTCTACATAGCATCAAACAGAGTACTGCTATGGTGATGATGTCAGGCATGTGTACTATATAGAACTATATAGAACCATTTTCAAAAAGGTTCTAGGTAGAAGCAGATGTGTGTGTATATATGATGGTTAGATAAGAAAAGATGGTTCTTCAAGGTTCTTTAGTCATGGTAATGGGTCTATATAACCATGAACACTCAAACGACTATTTGCGTGGTGAAATGGTTCTTCAGGCTGATGAAGAAGGTGTTGTGTATGGTTCTGTATAGCACGAAATGAGTACTGCTATTGTAATGCTCGTATACTATATAGAACCATTTTCAGAAAGATTCTAGTTAGAACCATACACAACACATACTCCATCAGTTTGTATGCTTAAATGGTTCTCTGCATGGTGAATTCGTTCTTCACACTGATGAAGAATGTGTTGTATATGGTTCTATATAGCACCAAAAAGGGTTCTGCTATGTGTTACAAGCTTGACATCGTCACAATAGACGAGCCCTTTTTGCTGCTATATAGAACCATTTTCAAAAATGATTCTACATAGAACCATATACACATTCTCCATCGACCTGAAGAACCATTTCACTATGCAAAGAACCATTTAAGCACTCTAATTAGAACCACTGCCTTTACTGAGGAACCCTTAAAGAATCATCTTTCTTATATATATATATATATATATATATATACATATATATATAGAAAGAGAGAGAGAGAGAGTTTTCCGGCCGGGTGTGTAATGGCTCTGTATTCCGCCTGCAGCTCTTCAGGACGTGCTTATTAAGTTTGCGCCTGAAGATCCTCACAAATTTGGCAAAAACACTGAGACGAAACAATCTTTCTGGAAATAGAAACGGAGAGAAAGACCCTCCGTCTGAGATCATCAGTCTCCAAAATTACTGCTGTTGTGCTTCTACAACATCATCATTAGCTATAAAACTATAAAGTCCATAAAGCGTCTGGATTAGATTTAATATTATGTGTGTGTTATTCCGGCCGCTGCTGATGTTCCCGATCATTCCCTCTTTATTCATTTATATTCACACTGCAGTGACACTTCACTGCTTCACACTCTCAGCTGGCACGAACCCACAGCTCTCACTGCTGGTTTTCTATACATGTGATCTAATTAATTAAACGTAATAACATCATTTCACAATTAATTACAGTTACTTTTATTCCAGTCTCTCTGTGTGAGTTTGTTTTGGGGAGAAATTCAGAGATTTCATTTCACGACACTGCAGTATGAGATATGATGACCATTAGAGCTTTAACAGCATACAACACATATACTCTCTCACTCTGTACCTCTCTCTCTCGCTCTCTCTCGCTCTCTCCTTCTCTTTTCTGTCTTTCTTTTGTTTTTTTCTTTCTAATCTATCTTTTTCTTCAGTTTTCTCTTTCTTCTGCTTTCTCTCTTTCTGCTTAGCTCTCTCCTTCTGTTATCTCTCTATGTCTCCTTCTCTGTTTTCTCTTTCTTCTGTTTTTTTTTTCTTCTTTTTCATCTCTCTTTCTTTCCCCTCCCATTCACTCTTCTCCTTTGCTCCTGGCTCCTTTTCACTCACACCCTCCTCTTTCTGTTCTCTCTCTTTTTTTGTCACTCTTTCTCTATTCACTCTCTCGCTCTCTGTCTCTCCTTCCTTCTTTCTCCCTCTTTCTCTCTTTTATCTTCTCTCTTTTTCTCTTTGCCCTCTTCTTCTACATTTTCACCCTCTTGTTTGTTCACTCTCTTCTTCTTCTTCATCTTTCTTTTGTATCTCTTCTCTATCTACCTTTTTCTCTCTGCTCTCTATCTATCTATCTATCTATCTATCTATCTATCTATCTATCTATCTGTTTTTTCTTCTCTCTTCCTCTCTTTATCTTTCCCACATGCTGTCCCTTTCTCCTTCTTCTCTCTCTCTCTCTCTCTCTCTCTCTCTCTCTCTCATTTCCTTCACTCCTCTCCTTCTCACTCTTTTCTTTTCACCTGCCAAATTGATGCTGTCACCATTACTCAAAAATGGCACACTGTCTGATGCCCAGCTTTACACTTCTTCTCAAAATGACCCCCCCCCCTCTCTCTCTCTCTTTCTCTCTTTCTCTGTGTCTCTCAGTCTATACTCTCTCTCGTGCAGAAATAGTAGCAGTGAGTTCTTCTCTAATGGTGTGAAAGTAGAGGTCCATGCTGGACCCAATTTTGGGCCTAAGTGGAAAGATTTCCTGAAATGAAACCCAATTACACCCAGCCTCTCTCTCTCTCTCTCTCTCTCTCTCTCTCTCTCTCTCTCTCTCAGTCTCTCTTTCTTATTTTCCTTTCTTTCTAGTTCTCTCCCCTTCTTGCTCTACTCTCTCACACTCTCTTCTTCAGGGTACACCTACCCTGTACTTGCACTGGCGGGCCACTTTATTAGAAACACCTGCCTTGTGCTTCCACTCACTGACCACTTCATTAGAAACACCCACCTTGTACTTCGTCTCACTGGCCACTTATTGGAAACACCTACCTAAATTGGAAACACCTACTTTTGTGCTTCAACTAACTGGCCATTTTATTAGAAACACCCACCTTGTACTTCGTCTCACTGGCCACTTTATTGGAAACAGCTACCTCAATTGGAAACACCTACTTTGTGCTTCAACTAACTGGCCATTTTATTAGAAACACCTATTTTGTGCTTCCACTCACTGTCCACTTTATTGGAAATACCTATTTTGTGCTTCAACTAAGTGTCTACTTTATTGGAAACACCTACCTAGTGCTTCCACTAACTCGCCACTTTATTAGAAGTTTTTTTCAATTACACTTATTCAGTTCAATTACACTTATTCACCTTGTTTTTTTTAATTACACTTATCAGTGTCACTGTTGAGTAGAGTATGATTCAAGAGCAGCTCTGTTTCTGACCGCTTATGAAGGACAGAAGATGAATAACAAGAACAGCGTGTCAACAGATGAGCTACAGTCTTTAATTGTACACTAGTGACTAGATATGTGTGTTTACAGAATACATTTTCTAAAATTCTTTGTTTTTGCTTTATTGTTGATGCGCATTTACAGCGTGACTCGCGTACGCTACAGTAGCTTTAGCTCTAACATCAGCGCCAGAATGGAAGGTTGTGCTCTTGTTTGTTTTGCTGCTTTCCAAAATAAGACTCAGCGGCTGTTTCCTTAGTAACTCCTCTGTTTCAATTTGCCCGCTGTCACTCACCTAATTACTGCAATAATCCAAAGCTCTTAACGTCTGCCTGAGTCTTTTATCTGAGGGACACATACCACTACAGCATGAGCGTCCGCAACAGGGATTCCAGCTGTCAGGAGCTCCAAACAGAAGAAAAATGATACTCGTATGTGCGTGTTTGCTTACTGCCCCGGCTAACGGAGTTGGATATATTGGATTTCTCATCTGAAGTAGTCCAATTGTAGAAAAACATAACGCAGTGTGCATGTCCCCACAGTGCTAATGAAATCTGTAGCCGGGAGACAGAGAGCGAGTGATGAATGATGGAGTGTGATTGCAGAATGGTTGTACGAGCCTGTTTGTACTCAGATATTTCTCAAATTCTTGTCAGGATTGGGTCAGGTTCAAATTTCATGTTCGAGTTTCTCTTTATTATTTTATTTTCCTTTTTTTCACCTTTTTTTTCTTTGCTTTTTTGTCCTCCTTACTTTTATTCCCTTCAATTATTTTTGATCTAGCATATCAGAGTCACACATGTTGCTCGCAGCTAGGAATTTTGTCAGGTTACAGTTGGGTGCTTGAAAAAATAAAGAATTTTGTCGGCTACATTCAGACAGAATTTTTTTGGGCAACAGGGTTCAGACAGAAATTCACTGGGCTGCAGTCAAATTTAATAAGAATTTTATTAGGTTACAGTCAGATTCAGACATAATTTTACTGGGTTACAGTCGGATTCAGACAGAATTTTATTGGGTTACAGTCGGATTCAGACAGAATTTTATTGGGTTACAGTCGGATTCAGACAGAATTTTATTGGGTTACAGTCAGATTGAGATGGAATTTTATTGGGTTACAGTCAGATTCAGACAGACTTTTATTGGGTTACAGTCGGATTGAGACAGAATTTTATTGGGTTACAGTCAGATTGAGAGAATTTTGTTGGGTTACAGTCAGATTGAGACAGAATTTTATTGGGCTACAGTTGAGTTTAGACGGAATTTTATTGGGTTACAGTTGGATTCAGACAGAATTTTATTGGGTTACAGTCAGATTCAGACAGAATTTTATTGGGTTACAGTCAGACTGAGACAGAATTTTATTGGGTTACAGTCAGATTGAGACAGAATTTTATTGGGCTACAATCAGGTTCAGACAGAATTTTAATGGGTTACAGTCAGATTCAGACAGAATTTTATTGGGTTACAGTCAGATTGAGACAGAATTTTATTGGGCTACAGTCAGATTGAGACAGAATTTTATTGGGCTACAGTTGAGTTCAGACGGAATTTTATTGGGTTACTGTTGGATTCAGACAGAATTTTATTGAGCTAAAGTTGGGTTCAGATAAAATTTTATTGGGCTACAGTCAGATTGAGACATTTGTTGGGCTGCATTCAGGTTAAGACAGAATTTTGTCAGTTTAGAGTCAGGTTTAAACAGAATTGTTTTGGTTTGCGGTCAGAATTTTATCAAAACACAATCAAGTTCTGACAGTTTTGTCAGTTTACAGTGGGTCTGGGTCAGAACAGAATACAGTGATGTTGAGATTCTCCAAATGCCCCATTAAAGCTTCACCTCTCGTATGTAATCTGTAGAACTAACTCTTTTTCCTCAACTTTGCAGATCCGCTCGGACAAGGACCGCTCCATCAACATCAGGTACAGCATCACCGGCGTCGGAGCAGACCAGCCACCCAACGAAGTGTTCAGCATTGACCCAGAGAAGGGCAAGATGTACGTCACAAAACCTCTGGACCGTGAGGAGCGTTCCTCATACCATGTAAGTTTAGCTGTGTCTTTATTCAAATTTCAAATGCAAAATCTTCCCCTCACCTGAAATTTCAATGGCTGCTACTTCTGGTTTTAGTTTTGTGACAAACTTTTGTCCATGTTTGTAGATAACAATATATCATACACTGTCAGAAACAGCAAATGGACGATGATTCAGGTTTGTCGTTTCACATAGTGCCACATCTGCAGAGAACAAAGATTGTTTTATGAATTTGATTCAGATATTTGATAGAAGAATCCTTTGTTGTGCCACATCATTTTCTGACATGGAAACAAAGTAAAAATATCAAACCTGTCAATACAGAATATTTATTAAATGTTTTACCTAGTTAATTATAGAATGAATTATATACACTATAAAAAGGTCACTGTAAATTCCTGGCTACTAGTTGCATTACTTTACTGGAGTAATTTACTGGATCATATTAAATGTTAATAACAGTAAAATAACCACTGTGTACTGTGGTAAGTAAACTAAAATAATAGCAATGGACACATATTGGCCATACTTTGCACTGTACATACATTCATCTCAAGTAAGCATTTTTGAACACATTCATTCATTCCTTCATTCATTCATCATCTTTAACTATTTAATCCAGATAGGGTCGCTGTAGCAGTTGAGAAAAGCAGAAAATCCCAGACCATGCTGTCCCCCACAACTTCCTCCAGCTCATTCTGGGGGACCCTGAGCCACTCCCAGGCCAACATGGAGATATAATCCCTCCAGTGGGTCCTAGGATGACCTTGGGGTCTCATCCCAGTAGGCTGTGCCTGGTAAACCCCCACCGGGAGGCATCCATATCAGACACCTGAACCATCTCAACTGGCTCCTCTCAATGTGGAGGAATAGAGGCTCTACTCTGAGCTCCTCCCGAAACACTGAGCTCCTCACCCTGTTAGTAGGGTGTAGCCCACCCTGTGAAAAAAGCTCATTTCTGCCACTTGTATTCATGATTTCATTCTTTCGGTCATTATCCATAGCTCGTGACCACAGCTGAGGGTCAGGATGTAGACCGACCGGTACACAGACAGCTTTGCCTTACGGCTCAGCTCCCTCTTCACCACTACAGTCTGATACAGTGACTGCATTACTGCTGCCGTCTGTCCTAGCCTGTGTCAACAAGACCCCAAGATACTTAAACTCCTCCACCTGGGGCATTTCCTTTCCCCTTGATCGGGGCCTTGTCATGGCGGAAGGGACCCCCAGTAACATTCCCCCGGGTACGGTACCTCGGTGAGTGCCTGGTGGCTGGGCAGTTCACATAACCCAGCCAGGCTCAACCCGAAAAGGTAACATGGGGGACCATGTGGGCCCACCGCATGCAAGGTCCAGCATGGGGGACCGTTGCAGTGCTGAATAGGTGGTGGGAGGTGTCAGAAAGGTCCTTGGCAACAGTGATGTGTTATTACGGAAAATATCTTAAGATGAGTTGATTTCACAGTAAAACGATCAATCCAGTATTTTAATTAGTGTTTAATTTTGTGAAATCCTGGCAATAATTAAGAGTGTAGTTAGTAACATAATGGATAATTATTACCATTAATGAATCATCACTATCATCGGCAAAATGTCAATAATACCATCTGAGAGTTAAGGGTTTTCTGCTAGCTGAGTTTCTGCTCCTTGCATGCTTCTTCCCACGCTTCTCGCTGAGGTTTTGTCAGGAGAGGTTGGGGGTTGAAAGGCAAGTTTATTCCTCGTTATCCGTTTTGACGCTTTTAACTCGTTAAATTGATCAGCGGCTCATTGGCAGACACAACGCCAGCACTCCCACTGTCAATTAGCCGCCACGCTAGCGCTAACAGAGCGCAAAGAGAAGTGGCGTAGTCGACAGAGAGGTGTGTGTTTGTCTAGGGCTGTCTGGGCTAATGAAAAAGTCAGTTTAGTGCTGATCTCCGCGTTTGAAGCCTTCACGCTGTCTGTTTACTGAGCTGATGTCATCGTTAAAGAGGTACCGCAACGCAGTGCTCTTCAGAAACTATCCAGCACTTCACGTAATTATCACGCACACACTCCAACATCAGAGAGAGGAGGAACAATGGGATGAACACATCACCATGCTAATTAATGCGTGAACCGACATTCAGGAGGCATAAACAATGTCACCGTAATGAGGCCCATCAACACGACATCACTTCCCCACAGAGGGACTGACAGACAGCAGAGAGACTATACATGAACATAAACGTAAACATAGGTTTTGATCAGTGCTGCCTGCCAACACTGGTCCATGTGTGAACTTAGACAGGCACATTAAAGTGATAGGTTGGTGATCAAACTTGCACAGTTTTTCCCTAAGAGGCTAATGTGGCTAAGAAATACTGGAAGCCTATACTCCACCAATTAGCATAGCACTAACTGCATACCTACATCATTACACGCTCACCTCAAACATATAGAGTTGTTAAGTAATCTCTTGTAGACTTTATTATGTGAATTCTGACCTATATAAATATAGCTATATGATTATTATCTTTATTATTTAATGCTATTAATGTCATAATTAACCATCTTTCTCTGGAATTCTTTCTCTCGTTTCTCTCTCTCTCCCTCTCTCTCTACTTCCACCCTCTCTGTTTCTTCTCTTTCTCTTCTCTATCTATCTCTCTCTCCTCTCTGTCTTTTGTCTCTCTCTATTTTTTTTCTTTCTCTCTCTCCTTTGTCTCTCTCTCTCTATCTCTCTCTCTGTCTCTGTCTAATTTTGATACATTTTTTAACTTTTAACTTTGTCTTCTCTTTCTCCATCTCACCTGTCTTTCTCTCTCTACTCTCACCCTCTTTTCTCTCTCTTTCTCTTCTCTATCTCTCTCCTCTCTTTTCTCTCTTCTCTCTCTCTCTTTCTCAGTCTTTCTCTCTTTAATCTTTTTCCATGTCTTTTTTCTCTCACTCCTCTTTCTGTCTGTTTTCCTCTGCCTGTCTCTGTACTTCCACCCTCTTTCTTTCTTCTCTTTCTGCTCTCTGTCTCTCTCTGTCCTCTGTCTTTTCTCTCTCTGTCTTTTTACTGCCTCCCCTTTCTCTCTCTCTCTCTCTCTCTCTCTCTCTCTCTGGAAGCATTATTCAGTATTGATTCAATAACTCTGCACAGCCTGCAGTCACAGTGACATTTAGTGGCTCCCTATTCTCTAAACGTCTGCACTATCAACCACACACACACACACACTCACACACACACACACACAGATGAAATGAAGTAGAGGGTGTGTGACGCGTGTCCAGTGTAAGAACAGTGTGCGTATTTAGGGCAGATTTTTATTTGTTTGCTTTGCATGTTTGTAATGTGTTTCGTTTTGAACTTTCCCCGCTGGCTGGGGAGTTTTTCCATCGTCAGCTGAGAGACTTTTCACCACAGTAATGCAGTTTGACTGGGCCACAAGCTGTGACACTAGTTTGGGCTGTAAACTAGGATATTTTTCATCACAGTAGCAGAGTTTGGCTGGGCCATGAACCATGATACTTTTCATTGTGGTAACAGAGTTAGACTGGGCCACAAACTGGGACACTTTTCGCTGTGTTAGCAGAATTTGACTGGGCCACAAACTGTGACACTAGTTTGGGCTGTAAACTAGGATATTTTTCATCACAGTAGCAGAGTTTGGCTGGGCCATGAACCATGATACTTTTCACTGTGGTAACAGAGTTAGACTGGGCCACAAACTGGGACACTTTTCGCTGTGTTAGCAGAATTTGACTGGGCCACAAACTGGGCCACTTTTCACTGCAGTAGCAGAGTTTGACTGGGCCACGAATCAGGACACTTTTTGCTGTGTTAGCAGAGTTTGACTGGGCCACAAACTGCGACCCTTTTCACTGTGGTAGCAGAGTTTGAGTGGGTCACAAACTGGGGCACTTTCCACTATGGTAGCAGAGTTTGACTGGGCCTCACTCAGCCACAAAGCGGGTCACTTTCCACTACAGTAGCAGAGTTTGACTGGGCCTCACTGGGCTACAAAGCGGGGCACTTTTCACTGCGGCAGCAGAGTTTGACATGGCCACTTGTAAGTCAACTGAGACTCCTCAGTAAAGGATGAACTGGAGTTGAGTTGCCTGTCAGTTAAGACCGAGTCCAAGACGAGTCACAATTCAGTTAATAGTGAGTCCAAGTTGAGCTGCGAATCAGTTAAGGATGAATTTGAGTCAAGCTGCAGGTCAGTTAAGACTAGTTTGAGTCGAGTTGTGAGTCAGTTAAGAGTAGTTTGAGTGGAGATGTGAGTCAGTTACGATGAGTTTAAGTCAAGTTGTGAGTCAGTTAAGACTGGTTTGAGTTGTGAATCAGTTAAGATTAGTTTGAGTCAAGTTGCAGGTCAGTTAAGACTAGTTTGAGTCGAGTTGTGAGTCAGTTAAGAGTAGTTTGAGTGGAGATGTGAGTCAGTTACGATGAGTTTAAGTCAAGTTGCGAGTCTGTTAAGACTAGTTCGAGTCAAGCTGTAAGTCAGTTAATATGACTGAGTCGAGCTGTGAGTCAGTTAAGACTAGTTTGAGTGAAGTTGTGAGTCAGTTTTGATGAGTTTAACACAAAGTTGCAAGTCATTTAAGATTAGTTTGAGTCAAGCTGCGAGTCAGTTAAGACTAGTTTGAGTCAAATTGTGAGTCAGTTAATATGACTTTGAGTCGAGCTGTGAGTCAGTTAAGACTAGTTTGAGTGAAGTTGTGATTCAATTACGATGAGTTTAAGCCAAGTTGCAAGTCAGTTTTGATTAGTTTGAGACAAGTCGCGAGGCACTCAACATGCTGGGCCGATGACTCAAGTCTCCATCGCTGGAATCAGTTATACTGTTTATCATTTTCACACACTGTTTCACACTGTCAGATTCATTGCAATGAAATCTTTACCCTCTTAATTATTTCTTTGAGAATTAATCAAAATTTTACTCACATTAACTTTGTGTGCTTCAGTGTGGATGATTGTATATGTGCTTTTATGCGGGTTTACCTGCTATTAGAGGTTCTAGACCTTCTCTGTTCTCCTTTTCCTGATTCTGTTCTTAGTTTAATCATCATGACATGAGCCAAAGAAATTCTAGATGTATCTACAGTCCAGTAAATCAGATTAAACCCACCTCACTCTGAATAAACTCTTTGTTCTACATTCAAACCAGCCTGAACTTTCTCTGCCCCACTGTTATTGAAGATTTGATGATTTTTCCTGGAAACCCACTCCAAACACGACTGTATGAATAAATACATCATTCATGTCATTGATATGAAACATTCCTCTCTGAAAACACTCTCATTTTTACTGCGATCCATGTTATCTTCATCCGTTTTGCGGTTTTGTAAATAGCTGAAGGTAAACATTTATCAGCCGGGGCCCCTTTGCCAGCGTGACTGATTCACATTCAGCCTCACTTTGTCAAAACATTTCACTTCACCAAAAACCGTCACATTAGAGGGGAGAGAAAATGAGAAACAAAAAAAATTAAACAACGGCTTGGTACAGAATATTGATTTCAGCATGAACACGATTTCAGAACTCTGCCATGCTGTTGAAAACAAGGAAAAAAAAGAATAGTTTTTTAATGAATTGTTGCTTATTATTTTTATTCTGTAAGTCCAGAACCTTCACAAGGTCTGATACAGAAAAAATGCATTGATTTTATTTTTAAGTGTCCTTTTTAAGCATTTTGAAGAAACAAAGACAGTTCTATTCATGAAAGACATTTAAGATGGAAAGAAATAAACCAAATCATCTGACTGCATTAATCTTCAGTGTGTATCAAAGGGCCCAAAGCATGGAAAGCCTTTTTTCTTGCTTTTTTAAATAAAATAGTTTGATATAATACATAAGCATTGAAGATTCAAAGCATACTGTTTACTCCCCAGTCCATATACAGAAACTAAGCTACCTTAAGCTGCTATTTTTTTAATTGTTTTTGTGACACCATGAAAAACAATTCCTTTACGCATATCCACCTATTCAGCCTACAGCAGTTTAGCTCATTTAAGATTAAGTTATAAGGAGTGTTTCAGCCTGGTCTGCTGTATGAGGCTCAATAGAGGGCAGCTAATCAGAACAGGGCTGTTTTTACATATATTAGTCTTAAATGCACAGTAACAAAAACAGTTTGTTTAATGCTAAGGGATAAAGCAAGGCTGGAAACTGGTCATACAGAAATGAATTATGATTTTTTTTTGGTGCATTGATATTTCTAATAAAGTGGCCAGTGAGTGGAAGTACAAGTTGGGTGTTTCTAATAAAGTGGGCCGTGAGTGGAAGTACAAGGTGGGTGTTTCTAATAAAGTGGTCAGTTAGCAAAACTACAAGGTGGCTGTTTCTAATGAAGTGTTCAGTGAGTATGTACAAAGTAGTTGTTTCCAATAAAGTGGCCAGTGAGTAGAAGCACATGGCCGGTGTTTTTAATAAAGTGGCCAGTGAGTGGAAGTACAAGGTGGGTGTTTCAAGTAAAGTGTTCACTGAGTGGAAATACAGTGTGGGTGTTTCTAATAAAGTGGCCAATGAGTGGAAGTACAAGTTGGGTGTTTCTAATAAAATAGTAAGCGGAAGCACAAGGTTGCTGTTTCTAATAAAGTGGCCAGTGAGTGTATGTAATCCACAACTATCAAAACAAACCAGAAATCCAGAGCCGGTGGAATTATTCATAAGTAGCTGCTTACATTATGCAGGATTTAAGCCATAAGTAGTGCCTTAAGGTTTAGAACTGTGGTCAGCTTATCAGCTGAGCTGGGCATGTTTTGAGAGTGGTGTGTGTGTGTGTGTGTGTGTGTGTGTGTGTAGTCTCCTCTGATGTTTATATTTTCTCTGGCTGTCATGAATTTGTTGAAGATAAGGCAGCTGCATCTGTCTCTCATTTTATTCAGCTCACCTGAGAAAATGTTTGTGATAAGCTCAGAGTTTGTGTAGCTGGAGCTGTTTGGGTGCGTCTGTCTGTGTGACAGAAAGAGAGAGAGAATGAAATTCCCTCAGTTTTCCCCTCTTAGCCTAAACGTAGTCGATCAGCCAAAACATGTTTGGTGTCTGCAGTTCTTTAGTTTTAACACTGAAGCTACAATGCTAATGTAGCTAACAAGTAATGTAAGCTTATACCACAATAAGCCAGTTGCTAACTACATGCCTAAATCATTGCTATACTCGTCTGAAACTGTGTGGAGTTGTTCAGTATCTCTAATGGACTTGATTATGTGGTTTCTGACACTGCATGACTCACTGTTTTCCATAAACATAGACTAAAGTACATTAGCACGAAGCTAACAGAAGCAGTATCCTGAAGCCTCCATTTTGCCTGTAGAATAGTGTGAGGCACAACATAAGCTAAAACAATTTTAAAACTACTAAAGCACAATAAATCTGAAAAATATGTTATTTACATGAGACCTGTGGTACCTTAATGTTCAGTGTATGAATATCAAAACTTACAAAATAACTGATAGCTGTGATCTTACACGGGGGATGTGTAGTCCATTGATTGTTTACTTTGGGGGTCTTAGTTGTAACAGCATGTTAAACTAGCTTTGCATGATTAAAGTGTTCTCTGCATGGTGGAATCATTCTTCATTCTTCATATGATGTTTTGTGTATGGTTCTATATAGGACATTTTTGAAAATGGGTTGTATATAGCACCAAAAATGGTTCTGCTGTTGTGACAAGTTTGTTACAGTAGAAGCACATCACTGCTGTTGGACCAAAACCTTGTATCTCCAAAATAGTAACTTTACAGGAGAAGAAAAAACATACTTCACTTTTATTGTAAGCAAATGAAATCAATATATATATATATATATATATATATATATATATATATATATATATATCAGTAATTTTGAGCCAGTTCTTTTGGCCAGTTCTTCTTTTCTAAAGAGCATCAGACATTTTCTAATTATGACAAAAACTGGAAAATGACAAAAATGAAAATACAGGGTTTCGGTCAGACAGCAGCGCTGTGCTACACATTCTCCATCAGTCTGAAGAACTATTTCACTGTGCAAAGAATCTTTTAAGTATGCAGATGGTTTCATATAGAACTCATGGTTCTAAATAGATTCTAAATAGATTCATATGGAGTTGTTTTCTGTGTAATGTACCTGAGGTGTCTGATCAAGCTGAGGTGTCTGATGAAGGTGTGTTGTGTTGTGTTTGTGTTCAGCTGCGCGCTCATGCTGTGGATATGAATGGTAATCAGGTGGAGCAGCCGGTGGATCTCTACATCTTCGTCATTGACATGAATGACAACCGGCCAGAGTTTAAGAACCAGGTTTACAACGGCTCCGTCATGGAGGGATCCAAACCAGGTGAGAAGATATCTATCTATATATATATATATATATATATATATATATATATATAGAGAGAGAGAGAGAGAGAGAAAGAGAGAGAGAGAGAGAGTGTAACAGAGTTGTAATAACAATGTAATAAGATGGAGTGTGTGTGTGTGTGTGTGTGTGTATATATATATATGTATATGTGTGTACATATATGAATGCACTACAAGTACTACATTATTACATAGGTTTTACAACTTCTCTCTTACCACTTACTTTCTGTTTTTCACTATTTTTATTTTATTTTTGTCATTCTTGTACCACCCCTTCTGCTCATTACATGTTCTTAAAGCGCACTTTTCTCACCTTTGTGCTCTTGAAAGTGTGTAGATTCTGTTCTTACCTAAGAACGAATCTCAAATAAGAAAATATTGGTGAATGTAGAATCTTCATTAAAACTGCGTGAGTGGATTTTAAGAAGAAATTTTCTCTAAGAACGGTTGGTGAATGAAGCCCAGTGACCTTTTCTTTCTTTCTTTTTTATGCTTCTTTCTTTCTTTCTTTCTTCCTTTCTTTCTTTTATATATTCTCTCTATATGTAAATAGATGAAGCTGTTTTTTGGCTGGTTTTAAGCGAGCTTGAACAGTGAGTGTTCTCTCTGTGTGTGTGTGTGTGTGTGTGTGTGTGTGTGAGAGTTTCTCGGGGGGATAATGATGCCCACCGTGGCACCTGTTCTTGCATCAGAGATGATGAAATAGCAGGATGCTGCAGAAAAAGGAGGAATGGACGGATGGATAGAATTTCTTTCTTTTTCCACTTCTGTCCTCTGGTGTATTGTGTTTTCCGTCCCGTCAGCCAGATAATGACCGGGCTTATTTTTACCCGCCACAGATAATTGGATATAAGGTTTTAAGTGCATATCCAACAGGTTCTGCTCGCTGTGTGGACTGACAACAATTTGTGCTCCATTGTTTGTTTTATTTGTCAGGAGAGTTCTGGAGGATTTGTCTGCAGAACCTGCAACAATCTCTCTGCAAAAGGAAAAACACTTCAAGAAAGGATTTTGCAATACTTCTGGTGTGTGTGTGTGTCTGTGTGTGTTTGTGTATGTCTGTGTGTGTGTGCCTGTGTGTATGTGTGTGTGTGTGTGTGTGTGTGTGTGTGTCTGTGTGTGTCTGTGTCTGTGTGTGTGTGTGTGTGTGTGTGTGTGTGTGTGCCTGTGTGTATGTGTGTGTGTGCCTGTGTGTGTGTGTGTGTGTGTGTGTGTCTGTGTGTGTGTCTGTGTGTGTGTGTGTGTGTGTGTGTGTGCCTGTGTGTGTGTGCCTGTGTGTATGTGTGTGTGTGTGTGTGTGTGTGTGTGTGTAAATAACTTTTAGCTGTAGTTTCTGTGCTGTAGTTTGTAGTTTGCAGTGACCCCTACTGGCAGAGGCAGGAACTGCAGCTACATTTACCCATCTGAGGTCCATCTCTTCTTTTTCTTTCACTCTCCCTTCTTTTCTCTCTCTCTACTCTGTTTCTCTCCTCTCTTCTTTCTCTTTCTCTCTTTCTTCTTTCTTCTCACTCTCCTCTCTTTTGTCTCTCTCTGTTCTGTTTCTCTCCTCTCTTCTTTTTCACTCCCTTCTTTCTTTCTCTTTCTTTCTTTCTATATTTTTCTTTCCCTCTCCTCTCTCTGTCCTTTTTCTTCTCTCTCTCTCTCTCTCTCTCTCCCTCTCTCTCTCTCTCTCTCTCTCTCTCTCTCACTCTTTCTCCCTCTCTTTCTCTGTCTCTGTCAGTGATAGTAAAGTTGGTCTTTGTGGTTTAATGAAGTTTGAAATGGAAGTTGCTGTAACAATTATATGTGTGTGTGGGGGGGTGCTGTCAGAGAGCCAACAGAGACTGACCTGATAATTACAGAGAGAGAGAGAGGGAGAAAGAGAGTTTCACATAGATTTATAGATGATGAATGTCTTGCACTTCAGACAGCAACATTTAAGGAGACCGTACGATTGTGAGAACAGCACCAACAAACACAGACAGCACTGTTTGAAAGTCAGAGACTCTCTTCACTGTTTAACTTTGATTAAACCAGCCAGCAGGTATAAGTTTTTTGTTTTTTTTTTGTGTTAGAAACAAACCAGAAAACAGCTTGATTTTCTCCTCTCTCTCAAAGATTTAAGTTTGAAGTGCAGTTTCTCTGATGGGGGCAGTTTTGGTGTCTACCAGGTCTTCCAGGTGGTTGTTAGGAGTCTCATTTTGTCTAGCTTTTCATCATTTTCTTGAACTTCAGTTTTGGAAACTCCTGTTGCTTCTTTCTTATCTCCTAAAAAATAAATAACATGTACTTAATGGCTGTTTTGACTGTCTCTAACATTTGCACAGTACTCTATCTAGAACAAGTTTTATAATATTGAAAACACTGATTTGTGTGGATGGACTTTATGAAGTGGCCAGTGAATGTATAAAGGTAGGTGTTTCCAATAAAGTGGCCAAAGAGTGAAAGAACAAGGTAAGTGGACTGTGATTGGTTGTTTGGATTCATGTGTAATGACATGACTTTTTTTTCGCAGGTACAACTGTGATGACTGTAACGGCTCATGATGCTGATGACATCACCACCTCTAATGGTATGGTTTATTACCGGATCCTGCAGCAGACCCCCCACAGCCCCATACCAAACATGTTCACCATCAACAGAGAGACCGGAGACATTGTGACCGTGGCAGCCGGACTGGACAGAGAGGTACACACACTTTTAAACCACTTATTATTCATCGTAAGATATACTCAGTACCTGTTTTGAATATATGCCACTGCGTAACTTAGTATATGCAGTCCTGATTTCTTCCATTATTGCATATTTCATCCCCTTGGAATTATAAGGTTCTGTCTGCATTCTGAGCAGCTTTAAGATGTTGAGCTTCAAGGATTTTGCATTCCGAATAGCAAGGCTGATATGAGGAACATGTCTCTTTATATATGAAAATGACAGACACCCTAAATTTATTCCAAATGTACAGTATCAAAATCTGTAAATGAGTTTTCTTAAACAGGTCAAATGCAAAAAGAACCGTCTAATCCTAAGAATCCTAAGGTTCTATCTGACAAAACATGAAAAGAAGCAACGATTTTCAAGGAACACAAACAGTGTTTACTCGTAATTTGTTTTAAAACATAAAATTAGTGTTGTAACAGAGTGTTTGCATGATCAAAAAGTTCAATTTAATGCTTTCTATGACATTTAATGACAATTATTTTTAATATTTATTTATTTGAGAGCCCAAAGTTCATGGCCAGCAAATACTGTTTTTTGGCCTTGTAACTAGCATACAGAGATTTCTCCAGATTCTCCCAATCTTTTAATGTTATTATGTACCGTAGATGATGAAAAGCAAAAGTTCTTTGCTATTTTACATTGAGAAACATTATTCTTGAATTGTTGCACTATTTTACAGAGTGGTGAACCCCTCCTCATCCTTACTTCTGAAAGACTCTCTAGGATGCTTTTCATAACCAATGTTACTCACCTGTTGCCAATTAATCACTAGGTGTTTTTTAGCATTACACAACTTTACCAGCCTTTTGTTGCCCCCATCCCAACTTTTTTCTTGTAACTAAGGTAAGTAAAATGTGGTGTTCCTCAAGGCTCTGTTCTAGGGTCTCTGCTGTTTTCAGTCTGCATACTAGAAACTGAAGTTATATAAGCTTAAATCTTCAGCAGCTGTTATAGGAAAGGACCATTTGTGTTGAAAAACAAAATGAAATATAAAAAAGTTGCATACATACACCCATACATAAACATAATCACACTCAGGTATTTATGTCCAGCTCACATTGACCACACTCATTTGATCCACTGCACTTTTAAACCATTTAATCCCTGAAACTGCAAGCTTATTATTAATCGTAAGACTTATTAAGAATATATAGTTCTAATTTCTTCTATTACTGTATATTTGTCACACTAAATGTTGCAGATCCTCCTACAAAATGTAATATAATGTAATTTTATTTTTGTTTAATTACTGGTTTTGCCACCTTTAGCAGCAACAGCTTCAACCAAACACTTCTTATATCTGGAGATCAGTTCTTCACATCACTGTGGATGAACTTTGTCCCATTCATCTTTGCAGTATTGCTTCAATTCATTCTGAGAGCCTGTGATAGTGATTCCTAAGTAATACATCACTTCCTGCCTCCATCTGCACAGCAATGCAGTGACTTGATGTCATTTTCAAATAACTTATTAGTTGATTGAGTAAGATGGGACCTTTTTCCCCTGTGTGTTAGTGTGTTTCTGTCACTGTATAGAGGATACATAAGGCTTCCTTTATTGTTGGATATACTGGAATTTATGTTTCACTCGTGGGCAACTGAAAAAAAAAGAGGATTTGTGTTTTGATCACTGCGAAACAAATGGTATCTTGTCAAGTAAAATTATCTCAAATCTGGTCAAGTAAATCTAATATTTCTCCTGCTGAGACTGTTCTAGGCTTATTTTAAGATTATTTAAATTATTTCCAAACATTTTTACTTGTTTTAAGTGATTTTATTAAGTAAATCTATCTCACTATATTGGCAGGTAATTTTGCTTGTTTTAAGAAATGTGCTTGAAACCATATCTGGCAATATAGTAAGATCATTTTTCTAGATAAAATTACTTAAAACAGGTAAAAAAATGTCTAGAAATAAGCCAGATAATCTTAAAATAAAAGCACAACCATCTCAAAATAAGAAATATTAGGCTTATCGACTAGAATTAAGATAATTTCACTTGACAAGATACTATTTTTTGTAGTGATGGACAGCTGATGTGGATTGTAGTGATGGACAGCTGATATGGATTTAAACACTGATTATAATGGAAGTGGATCCGTTCTGTCAGACGGAGAAGTTAAAACTCCTCAGAAACGCATCCAGTGTGAATTGGCTATAACAGAGGTGAGAAACACACACATGCGCGGACATATATCACCACCTGATGTATTATTCATCACCTCTCTGCCCATTAGGCCACACTTACAGTAGCATCAGTGTGACAGGATGTTCCTCTGCCATTACACTCACACGCTGTGTGCAGGTACGCAACTCTGTCCACCCACTATCACAGCAGCCTGAGTCTGTCCACCCACCTGAAGCCGCAGGACACACGGATCAGTCCTGAATCAAACACACTGTCTGCTACCTGAGAGTGTTCTGTATGAGTCAGGATCAGTGTGTCCCGCAGGAACAAAACTCACACTTCACACTGCACCTCTCATTGTTGGAGAGTTTTGTTTGTTTGCCAGCATGAAAGAACAGCAACTTACAGCCAGTCTTACTTTTCTTGGTAATGTTTTTTTTTTCAAAATAACCATAGCGTGGTATCAAGTCATTTGAGGCAGGGATGTCAAACAGTTAAAGTTAATAATCATGATTAATTACATTGTGTGATTATACATTTGCTCTAACAGAATTTTTTTTTTTCTATTCAAAAAGTCTTGTAGTGTTGTATTCAAGACCACTAGAGTCGAGTCCAAGATAAGACTGAAACCAGATTACGTTTTTTCCAGAATATACAAATAAAAAAAAGAAACAATTTGTGAGTCTAAATTAAACTGAGAATGAGACAAAACTTATTCCAAATGATTTCAAGACCAAGATGAGAGTGACACCAAATGATGTCGAGATGGAGACAAGACGGAGTCCAAATAATGTTCAGGTTGAGACAAGACAGAGTCCAAATTATGTCAAGACCGAGATGGGACCAATGTCAAGTCCTAGATGATGTTAAGACTGAGAAAAATGATGTCAAGTCCAAGATGACATCAAGTCCAAATGATGTCGAGATCGAAATAAGACCAAGACCAAATGATGTCGAGACTGAGACAAGACCAAGACCAAATTTTGTTGAGACCAAGACAAGACCGAGTGCGTGATGTCAAGTCCAAGATGGGACAAATATCAAGGCCGAGATGTTGAGACTGAGACAAGCTGAGTCCAAATGATGTCAAGGCCCAGATGAGACTGAGTCCAAATGATGTCTAGACCAAGATGAGACTGATTTCAAACGATGTTGAGACCAAGATGAGACTTAGCCCAAATGATGTCAAGACAAAGATGAGACCGAGTCCAAATGATGTCCAGACCGAGACAAGACCAAGTCCATAAATTTATGATCTCGAGACCAATTAGAGTACAACAACACTAGTTATAGTTATGTGAGTGGACAAAATAAGCTTCATTAGAATGTATTTATTTCTTTTAACAATGATTTATACAAAGTGAATGCAGTTTCCAGTTTTCATCAACAGCATCCAGTGAGAGCAACAGTGTCTGCATGAGTGTACACATCATATATATCATACATACATTCATTGAGTGTATATATCATATATATCATATATACAGTCAGTGGTTCATTTCCTCTGTGATTGTAGCCTCTCGCTCCCATAGCACTACATTATGTCTTGTTAGGTTATCCATCGTTGTCCCATGAGCACTGTCCAGCGTAGTCTGCTGAAGGTGCCCTCCAGTGCCATATTACTGATTCACTGATGTGTCGATGTACTGATATTGCTGATGTTGCAACATCAGCGCTATGTTTTGTTTACTTTAGACTAGGTGATTTTCAGTGATGAACAAATTCATAAAGACAGTAGCTGGAAATAACTTATTTTTTATCAAGAGTGCCATCAATGGAACATCTGGCCATTCAAAGTGAGCTATTCATTTGATCAAGAGAATTGCTTACAGTCATGCTACAGAGTGCAAGCAGCAGGGATTTAGGTTGGAACTATGGATAGTTCAAAGGGTCAAATTAGAAAAATATGTTAGCACTGTTATAACTGTTTCAAAATACTATTTTTTGCTCCGCTATCCGATAGCTGCTAACAAATTACTTTGTCCCCACCCTGTAACATAATGTAATTAGAAAAATCACAGCCTTGTAAATAAGGTAAGATATAAGGTTAAATGTGGTGTTCCTCAAGGCTCTGTTCTAGGGCCTCTGCTGTTTCAGTCTATATACTAGAAATTGTAGTTGTCTGTGCCTGAATCTCTTGCTGCTGTAGGAAAGGGCCATTTATGTTGAAAAGCAAAAAAATAAAATGTAAAAGAATTTTGTATAAATACACCCACACATAGACATAATCACACTCCAGCTCACATTGACCACACTCATTTGATCCACTGCTGAACAAAATATGCCACTGAAGGTAAATGCCCCCAATACATCCCCACGCAAATAATATATGTCTACTATTCTGTATTTTTCATGGTGGAATGAACCTCAGACCGCCGTAAAACAGGACCTCCAAACTAATGGTGTTTTTTTTTTACGATGATTCACACCTGGAAGACCTGAAGGATGTTTTGTACAGATGGAGATGCCTGAGGGAAAGGAGATAGGTGCATATGCTATTTTTATATATGAAGTCAGCTTTTACATTACAACATAGAAAACAAGAGGATACATAGCACCAGTCTAAAGTTTGGATGTATGTTTTTCCTAATCTTAAAGATTTTAATGCTTGAAATTTGCTTCTACGCCAATTATAAATCAATTTTGATGTTTATGCATGATATGTTTTAAAAGTAAAAAAATTTGATGCGAAAAAAATCACTCTAAATCTTACACCAGTTCATTTAACTTTAAACACAAAAATGAAATGAATTGATGGCTATGTATGCATTCATTTCCAAAACAAAAATTTTAGATGTTTTTGTGGTTTTTCAGAAGAAAAATCTTAACATCTGTTAACGTAGCACAGTAAATTACTAAACAAGACTTTTAAAATAATTTTTAGACATTCCTGTTGGTCCATTGGTCATGAAGCACTCACCAAATGTAAAGCACAGCTGGCATTTTCAGATGATTTAAAAATCTAATAAAAAAGAAAAAGTTTGCAGGAGTTTCTTATGGCAGCATTTGCTCTCATGTTTGTGTGAAAGCAGTTGATTTGATTTGAGTAGAGTCAGACCACGTAGTGGTTAATTAGGACTCTGTTGAGCACAACAACACTTCAAACTGCTCATCACACAGAGCCTTTCTAATGAATATTACACCTTGTTTACATCTGAATATTGTTTTAATACACACATCTCTCATATTGTCTCTTACTCAGTCTGTTGTAGACTTTAGTTTACAGATCTAAAGGTGCTTATGTAGCTGCTGTTGTAGTACTGTGGAGATGGAAGGATGGAAATTGAGGGATGGAGGGGTACTTGTGTAAAGCAGACCACTATATCTTGTTAGAATGGCTTAAAAATGTTGAGGTTGACAGTGGTCAGTCTTTTGCTTAATGGAGGTCCTATTTGGCTGGTTGTCAACAATTTGTCAAAGCAAATAATGATTGTTTAAATGTGCAAAGATCGAATACAGTGTTCCTCAAGGCTTTGTATGAGGGCCTCTCCTTTTTTCAGTGTAGATATTAGAAACAAATATGGTGTTCCTCAAGGCTCTGTACTAGGGCCTCTAATGTGTTCAATCTCAATAATAGAGACCTAAGACAGTGTTTTTCAAGGCTCTGTATGAAGGCCTTTCCTGTATTTTGTCTAAATACCAGGGACAAAATATGATTTTCCCAGGGCTTTTTACAAGGGCCTGTCTCATTTTTACTGTAGATACTAGAAAACAAATAGGGTGTTCTTCAAGGCTCAGTATGAGGGCCTCTCCTGTTTTCAATCCAGATACTAGATACAAAATATGGAGTTCCTGAAGGCTTTGTATGATGGTCTGTCCTGTTTTCAGTGCAGATACTTGAAACCAAATATGGGCCTCTTCAAGGCTCTGTACCAGGGTTTCTGATGTGTTCCATCTGGATGCTAGAGACCAAATATAGTGTTCTTCAAGGCTCTGTATTAGTGCCTCTCTTGTTTTCAATCTAGATACTAGATACAAAATATGGTGTTCTTCAATGCTCTGTACTAGAGCCTCCCGTGTGTTCAATCTAGAAGCTAGAGACTAAATAGGATTTTCTTTAAGGCTCTGTATTAGGGCCTTTCCTGTTTTCAGTCTCTGTACTTGAGATTAAATATGATTGGTTTTTACTAGGGTCTCTCCTGTTTCCAGTGTAGATACTGGAAACCAAAAATGTTCCTTGAGGCTTTGTACTAGGGCCTCTCCTGTTTTCATTCTAGACAAAGGAGATCAAATTCAGTGTTCTTCAAGGTTCTGTATTAGGGCGTCTCCTGTTTTCAATCTAGATATTAGAAACCAGGTTTTTGAAATGATCTGTGCTTAAATGATATAGATTTGGCTTTAATTAAGTAGTGTTTAATTATCTATGTGTGTGTGCTCAGTTGCAGTCATAGCTATCACCAAATATGAGAAAAGTATGTGTTAATTGTATGTTAATTATTTCTCACTTGCAGCTCATTGAAAAAAAAGCAAGTGCAGTGGAAGGCGCACAGTCTAAAGTTAAAAACCATGATATGAGATGAACCATGAGGAGATATTTTATTATGATATTGTTTTGTTGTGTGTCTTGAACTTGAAAACTTATTGTAGTTTTTTAAAAAAGTCAGAAGTGCTGGCACAAACCTGTCAGTAAAGAATGTATGTCAAATGTAAATGTAGTGAATGGCGTAACTGTAATTTTGTAATTAAATTTAAATAATGCAGCAAAATAACAAGTCTCTAGAGCCTCTAATGGTGTTCTTTTTAAGTATATTTGCAGAAGCCTGTTTAGTTATTTTGTAATATGAAGTACACTGATATCTCTCTCTCCTCCTTCACACTGAGAGATGTTTCTAGCTGTTCTTTAGACCAGCCGACTAACTAATGTCCATTTACTCCGGCTAGCGCTGTCAGTGCTGTGTTTTTCTCTTTTTGTAACTGCCGTCTCTCCTATTAAAGTGAGTGATGTTACAGACAGATGCGCTACAGCAGCACAATAAACACATGCACACACCTGCAGACCTGTAAAACAGTGAGGCAAATGAAATATGTCACTGTGAGCGGCGGGAGCAAAGAGAGAGAGATGTAAACACATAGATTAAATGTAAACATAAACAAATACATTACACTGTGTTCTCTCAGCAGTAAAGCAATATTATCACAATCAGTCATTATAAAAAAGCCCCGGCAGCTCAGAGCTGATCGTACATCTGTTTGGCTGTCTGCTTCTGTTTCCTTCAGAGAGTCTCTCAGTACACGGTGATCGTGGAGGCCACGGATATGGAGGGGAACCTGAATTTCGGTCTGTCCAGCACAGCCACAGCCATCATCTCCATCACAGACGTCAATGACAATCCACCTGAATTCACTCAGAGCACGGTGAGTATGGGCGCCAGATGCACCAAAATCATCTCTATAAAATCACACCTGTGCTCACTCTGAGCACAGTGAATACAGGCGCCAGATGCACCATATTCACCCTTATGTAATCACACCTATACTCACTCGCAGCACAGGGAGTATGGACATCAGATCCACCATATTCACCCCTATGAAATCACACCTGTACTGACTCAGAGCACAGTGAGTACAGGTGCCAGATGCGCCATATTGGCCCCTATAAAATCCCACCTATGCTAAGAGCATGGTGAGTACAGGTGCCAGATACACCAAATTCACCCCTATGAAATCACACTTGTACCCCCTCAAAGCACACTGTGTATGGGTGCCAGATATACAAAAATCACCGTATGGGATCACACCTATAGTCACTCAGAGCACAGTGAGTATAGGCACCAGATACCAGATAGTGAGTAAGGGTGCCAGATACATCAAATTCACCCCTAAACTTACAGTTCCTTTATAGCAATGAGTACAAGTACCAGATTCAGCAAAATCAACCCTACAAAAATACAGCAAGTATACAAAAAACTCCCCACACCATCACCGGCCCCCGCTGATGTCACCAGATTGTGCAACATCCCACCTTTACTTATACAAATTCTACCTATGCTAACTAAGAGCACAGTGAGTAAGGGCGCCAGATACACCAAATTCACCTCTATAAAATCACACATGTACCCCATAAGAGCACAGTGTTTACAGGTGCCAGATACACCAGAATCACCACTGTGAAATCTCACTCAGACACACTAAGTATGTGTGCTTGATATACCAAAATTCTCTCCTTACAAAATCCCTCCTGAACTCACTCAGAGCATTTGAATAAGAGTGCTCCGACAGCAAACCCTCCCCTCCAACAAAATCCCCTCTGAGTGCTATGAGTATGGGCAGAGAGCTGGTCACTGGTTGAAGTATGAATGGGAAGCTCGTAACACTCAACAAGGCGTCTGTTTGCACTTCAGTAAAAAGAGCCTCCCCTCGTTTTCGAGATCTGCACAAGCGCAGTGAGTTTTTTGGGCATTACTGAGCCAAACGCTACAAACTATTTATGAGGTTTTATGCAATTTTATCAGTGATTTTAAATATATTTTCAAAACAGTAATTTTACCGTCAGTTTAGAGCATTTTGGTCTCTCCCCATTCAAAGAGATGGGAGTCTGGTCTTGTATGGACAGAAATAACTGCCCAGCAGCATTGCCAAAATGGATGCCAAATGAACAGACTTGCCTATAAAGACTTTGGTATGGGTGCCATGTCATGCAAAATCACCCCTAAACTCGCAGCAAAATCCCCACTCTGAACTCATTATAAATGTGTTGATTGTGAGCCCAAGGTCATGCAAAGTCGCCCACACAGAATTACCTCTATAAAGTCCCTCCTAACCTCGTGGAACACCCCCAAAATTCACACAGAGCCCAGTGGATACAGCAGCCAGGTCACTTCACCCCTCCCTCAAAGTCACACCTACAAAATTCCACAGATACACCAAAAAGCCCCCTACAGAATCCCCTCTTGACTCACACAGAGCACATTGAGTATCAGTAGTAACCTAGCTGAACTTGGTAAGTAGAGGTGCCAGCCATGGCAAAATCACCCCTACAAAATCCACCCAGAAACCACTCACTATGAGCACAATAAGTATGAGCACGAGATACAGCAAATAATCACTATGAAAGTCTCATAAACTCTCTTGTAGCCCAGTGAGTATGAGTGCTAGATCATGCAGTATCACTGAACTCACAAAATCCCCCTTCTGTACTCTCAGAGAGCACAATGAGTACAAGTACCATATTCAGCTAAATCAAACCTATGAACACAGCAAGTGTAAAACAAAAACTCATGTCACCAGATCATGCAAAATCCTCCCTAAACATTTACAAATACAGTGAGAATGTGCACAGGTCATAGTGTATTACTGAGTGTGTATGTTTGTATGTAAGTGTATTTATTTATTTTATTTTTTTTGCTTATTCCTGTTATTTTTGATAGAAGTTTGGGTTAAACTGTATATAGGCTACTTCATAACAAAGTTTAGAGTTTCACTTTACCATCTACTGCTATTTTTTGTCCTTCCCCTGTCATTTGTATTGTGTTGCCTATTACAGCTAAAGCTAAAAGAGCTCTGGCAGCCTTGTTGAACCTTTCTAACAGGCAGGCTGTGGGTCACTCTCAGGTAAATTGTTTTGGGCTTGTCTTATTGGACCCAGAGCTGTCACAAACTGTCACAGTAAACCTGGCAACCCGGACACAGAATTAGTCCAGTGGGCCAAAGGCAAATGACAGAAACCTGCTTCAGCTGAGAGAGAGAGTGTTTGTGTGTATTTATCTCCTTGTGGGGACCAAATGCCCTCAGGATGAGGAACATGAACATTTAGTCGTTGTGGGGACATTAGGCCGCCCTCTGGGAAAATGCTTGTTCCCTCAAAAACTGCAATTTTTATTAGGCAAAAAAAGCATGGAGGTGGAAGGATAGAGATAGAGGGATGGAGATGAGATAGAGGGGATGGAGATAAGATTTTAGCAAATTTGAAAGGGATGGAGATGGACTTGCCATAGAAGGTTGGGGATGGAGATGGAGAGATGAAGATGAAGATGGAGGAATAGAGATGGAGGGAAAAAGATGGAAGAATGGAGATGGAGGGACAAAGATGGAAGAATGGAGATGGAGGAATGGAGACAGAAGAATGGAGATAGAGGGACAGTAATGGAAGAATGGAGATGGAAGAATGGAGATGGAGCAATGGAGATGGAGAGGTGGAGATGAAGAGATGGAGGGACAGTGATGGAAGAATGCAAATGGAGGGACAGGAGTGGAGGGACAGAGATGGAGGAATGGAGACGGAGGCACAGAGATAGATGGGTATAGAAGAGGGATGGAGATGGAAATGATGATAGAGCGACGAGGATGGAGATAAAAGTACAGATGTAGATAGAGTGAGATGGGGATGGAGATGGAAGGATGGAGATGGAGGAAAGAATAACCTCAGACATTAAATATATCGTGGCTGACTGACTGTGTTTGGAGTGAAGACTGTTGTGTTGTGGTGGAGTGTTGAGAATAAACACATTTCATTCTCTCTCCCTGTTTCTGTCTTTCTCTGTCTGTTTCTCTCACTCTCGCTTATCAGGACAATGCAGATGTTTGTGTGTGTTTTTTTCTTGAGAATGAGAAACAAAGAGAGAGAGAGAGAGAGAGGAGAGAGAGAGAGAGAGAGCGAGCATCTTCAACCCACTTTAGTTGGTTTTATTTTTTATATTCTTTATTTGACTATTTCTCTTTTGCACCACCACTTCTCTTATAGACTGTAGGAAGTGTGGGAGAGAGACAATGGGATTAAAAACAGTGCCATAAATGTCATTGTGCTGATCTGGAGCTGGCAGGACTGTGAATGATTGTGGAGAGCAGTGTGTGTGTGTGTGTGGTGTGTGTGTGTGTGTGTGTGTATGTGTGTATGTGTGAAGAATAAAGTCAAAACACAAACACAAATTACAGCACTGTACAAAAGTCAGAGAACCTTCATTTGTTTTATTTCCAATCAAAACAACAGTTAATACAAATTATTCATTTTTCAGCATCAAGAAAAAAACAACAGCTGTTCAGTGTGTCCATCTTTAACTTTATTACAGCTTCCATTCTTTTCACTGAGATTAATAACTGATCACATTGATTTGTCAGTCTACTCAGGCTTTAGCAAAGATCAGTAAACCTGAGATTAATAACTGATCATCACATTGATTTGTCAGTCTACTCAGGCTTTAGCAGAGCTCAGTAACACTGAGATTAATAATTGATGACAGTGATTATCAGTCTACTCAGTTTTGAACTGCCATTTCGAAATGTAATGTGGACCGAATAGAAATACTTGCTTTCTTTATTCTGAATACATATTAACTTTGACAGTGTTTGTGAGGTGGCCTAATGATGTTTTGAAAAGGTCAATCATAATTTTGAATCTTAATCATAATATTACATTTATGCTCTTTTTGTATTTTATTGTATTATCTCTCTGTAGTTTTCCGGAGAGGTGCTGGAGAACAGTGTAAACGTAGTGGTTGCTAATTTGACGGTGATGGATAAGGACGAGCCTCGGACACCAAACTGGAATGCTGTTTACCGAATAGTGAGCGGAGACAACGGCCGACACTTCACCATCCGGACAAATCCAGAAACTAACGACGGCATGGTCACTGTGGTCAAGGTAAAAAACATTTTTATTTTTTGTAATTTTCTTCAAAACAAGCTCTGTAATGTTCATATGCTCCACACATTCTGACACACTGTAATACACCACAGGAAGTGTAGGGGGCGATTTGGCTTCTATTGTTTGATTTAAAAAGCCCTCTAGAATGTTCGTATGATCCACACAGTCATTCTGACAGACTGTAATACACTACAGGAAGTGTAGGGGGCGATATGGCTTCTATTGTTTCATTTGAAAAATGCTCTATTATGTTCATACGATCCACACAATCATTCTGACAGACTGTAATACACTACAGGAAGTGTAGGGGGTGATAAGATTTCTATTGTTTCAGTGCACCTTAAAACTGCACTATGTAGCATTTGGGCATTTGGAGACACCTCTGGTGGAAAGTGTAATTGCACACAGCATGAACTTTTTCTAACATGAGTTGTGCTTCGTATCCCTTCCCCAAGCAGGTTAATCTGGGGTATAACAGAAACTTCCTCTCTTTTTATCCTAACTTAAGATCTGACAGGTCAAGGAAAGATTTTTCACAAATTCCTATTACAAAAGCAAATCTTATCTTAATTTATGAGTGTTATCTTGCAGCATCTTATCTCAAGTTAGGAAATCTTAGCGTACTTGATTGAAGTCTACAATCTACAGTCATGTCTGTTACCAAGCAACTTCTTTTTTAGCATGTGTGTGTGATGTTAATTATGTAAAGACGTATGACATGGAGTGAAAAATCTCCAACCCGACGCCTTTGACTTTTAAATTATTTTAGGCTTTGCATGGCGACTCCCAGATGGACATGCTCGCCATATTTTAGCTCGTTAAAGATAAAATAATAGTTTGTGCACATCCAGTTTAAAAGCACTTTGGTATGAACAAATGCTACAACTACTCCATGTTCAATTTAAAGACATAATACACTTTCCTGTTGTTTTATACTACTGACTCCGCCCAAAAAAAAAAAACAATACAAAACAAAATAGAGCTAGTGGGAAAGCATCTCATACACTGCAATAATACAGAATTTAAATGTTATTTTACACCACAGCAACCATTTGGCCAGTAGGGGGTGCTGTGTAATCCCTGCCCCACCTCAAACTCCACCTACAAAGACAGCCATTGGCTCACGAGCTTCTCAGTGCTGTCATTTTATTGGTGCATACATGCTTAATGTAAATGATATGTGAATGAAGTGCCAGTAGGCTGATGCTTGATTTCACGCACACTCAAAGCTCCACTCGTTTCCACATTGTACGAAAGTTGAATCAGATGCTACATCGTTAAAGGCTGTCAAATCTGCACTTTTTTTACCATTTTGTTTTCTGTTTTTCTAAAAATTTTGACATCCTAAACTGCACTTGCTAAAACACACACATATATATATATATATATATATATATATATATATAGAGTAAAAGTGAATTTTTTGATGCGCTGCATGTATTTGGTTGGCTTCCCTTCTATATGTGTATGCGTCTGTGTGCTTGTACTGCTGTTTTAGTGTGTTTGTTTTCACTTTATGGTCCCATTTCTCTTTATTTTGTTGCAGTATTGCCATCACAAACTCACACATACACAGCAGCACCGCTCACAGATAGCTAAAGACCACAGCAACAAATTGAATATTGATTTCTCATTTGCAGCCGTGTTGCTTTTTATTCACCCATCATGTTTTTTTCCTGACTAAACGGATGTTTCACAGCAGCACCATCACTTCCTGTTCAGTTCAGCCTCGCAGTCTCGAAGCAGAGCTTTATCTGCTCTTTCCCTTCAGCCTGGGAATAAAGGTGAAACAGACTCAGAGCTGCTGCAACACCTTTCGGCGGAGTGTGGAAAACATAGCGGAAAGTTTTAAATTGGTTTTGGTGTTGGAGCCGTGCGGTTTCTACCCGTGAACGTGTGGAGCTTATTAGTGTTTTGTGTGGATTGCTGTTTCGGGAAGCTGTTGTAATCACGCTGGTAAACAGCTTCGCTTGTGAACTCCTCCTGTTTCTTCTACACATGCCGTTCACTTTATCAGAAACTCCTACCTTCAAGCTCCACCTTGCTGGAGTAGATATAGAGACTGTAGTTGAACTGTTGGTGCAGTTTGTGTTGACCGTCCTCCAGCCCAGTCTTCTTGGCATTGTTTTTACAATAGACTCAACCTCTTTTTTAATATTAATTGATGTCTTTAGTATTTTACACTCTTAAAAAGATGGTTCTTCAAGGGTTCTTTAGTACAGAAAATGTTCTTTGCATCATGAAATGGTTCTTCAAATTAAGGGAGAAGTTACTGTATACGGTTCTGTATAGAACCTTGTTGGAAATGGTTCTATATAGCACCCGAATTGGTACTTCTATTGTTGCAATGTCAAGCTTTTAACAACAGAAAAACCCTTTTTTGTGCTATTTAGAAGGTTCTGTATTAAAGCATCTACAGCACATTCTTCATCAATCTGAAGAACTCTTTCATGATGCAAAGAACCCTTTAGTCATGCAAATAGTTCTCTGAGTGTTTATGTTTTCTGTATAGAACCATTTCTTTACTAAAGAACCCTTGAAGAACCATCTTTCTTAAGAGTGCATACTATATTAGTTCAGTGTAACATCATGTTTTTAATGTTTTCAGTGTTATGATTCAAAGCAGATTTACTAAAAGAGGCACTACTTAGATGGTTTGTGCCGGTGTGCGTGGCCAGTTTAGTATCCAGTTCTACTAAGAACTGACTTCTATGCAAATGAACAGTTTTGCTCATAGAATATTTGTATGGAAAGCCATTTCTAACAGGTTTCTGCTGCAGTATGACCACTTTTTACAAAATGTTCTGACTTAATATATTAAAAATGACTTATTATGTCAAAATAATTTTCTTGAGTTTGTCTTTAAAGTGGATGCTACTGGTTGCACAGACTAGTCGACTAGTTGACTTTACTGCTTGGTGATGGTGCTTTAAGCATGATGTCAGCTAGACGCTAATCACATGATTATGACACTAACAACATGGACGCCTCAGAGAAGACAACAGATGAAAAGCCTGGTGATTTCAGGTTCGTATCTCCCGTTTCCTGAAGACTGGCAATGCGATCCACGGCTCATTGGGAAGAACACGTCACGACATCAATCTAACATGATCTACAGAGCTTCAAAGATCAGACATTGAACGTTATTTTCTCCAGTTTCCCAAAGACTAGAATTAGAAGTCAGTTGTGTTTGGAGAGGGGGCAAAACACCCTATAATCCTGTAAAGTTTGAAGTCAGTTACTCTTATTTTGGTCGAAATACAGCTCTCTAAATTTCTCTGGCTCTCCTGACCTCCACCGTGGGTGAACGCCTTAGCAAGGCCACCCAAGTTGGATACAAATTTGTGACATTCCGTTGTCCATATCTCTGGTTTCCTGAAGGCAACTAGTGCGATCCAGGGCTCGTTGGAAAGGGCACGTCACACTCCACTGACCTGTGCAGTTTGGCTTTGGCAGAGATTGAATTTTAAAGTTGCTTGTTACACAGCATTCCCTTCTCCTATGGATTCATTCATGACATCATCAATGATTAGTCAACATTGACTCAACTTTCATTACGGCTTTAAAAAAATCTCTTGTTATGCCACCCCTAGTGGGTATTATTTGAAAAGGTACCATTATTTCCATATGTCATTATTTTAAAGAAATAGACCATTATTTTGACATACCAAGTCTTCATTCCATCTTAATAATAATATGATAATATATTTTTCAACCTAAAAGACACATTTTAATACACTGCTGCCAGAAATGGTGGACAGCACCAAAAATGAAGAAACCATTTCACAGCCTTAAAACAGCAAACATAAGTCAGTTAATTGTTTGCATGATCAAAGGGTTCTTTGCATCATGAAAGGATTCATGAATGTGTTATAGACAGTTCCATATAGAACCTTTTTGGAAAGGGTTCTATATAGCACTAAAAAGGGCTCTGCTGTTGTTACAATGTCAAGCTTGTTACAATAGAGGAGCCCTTTTTCCAAAAGGTTCTATGTAAAACCATATACAACACATTCTCCATCAATTTCACCATGCAAAGAACCATTTAATCATGAAAAGTGTTCATGGTTCTATGCAGAACAAATTTCTTTATTAAAGAACGCTTGAAGAACCATCTTTTTTAAGTATGTAGGTAATTAAGTAGTTTTTAAAACCGGGTTAGTGATGGCAGAAAACGTTGGTAAATCTTCCTCTTATTTATTGAACATATTAGTTTTATGAGTCTACATGATTAATATTTGTAGCTCTCTATCAGTATCAGTCTTTCTCTGACACCCAGATGATAATTTAAAGTGCAAAACTTTGTGGCTGATCGAATGACATTATTAGTTAATGCTACTGTTGCTAAACAGGAACTGTTTCCCTGCCAATGCTAAAGCTTCAACCTTGAGACTCTAAAGAACACTCTAAAGAAAGCTTTTGATTTATTAAATACATTCATATACATATATATTTCCACACTGTGAATGAAAGTATAAGCTTTGTGTTTCTATTTTTAATAAAGTGGATGGTGAGTGTGAAGGAATTCACTGCAGTGTGAAATAATCATTACAACACCGACCACACACACACACACACACACACTCACTCCTGCCGTTGGTTTCTAACAGTAGCATTTTAAAATGGCAGTAACGATCGTTCTGATACCCCAGAGCTCTCAACTTTCACCAACGGCCTTTTCCTTTAGCTTTCCTCTCCTCCGTTCATTATTTTTACACGACCGGATCCTCGTCCTCCTCTCCACCTTCCTCTCATCCTCCCTGTGCTCAAACACAGTGTAACACAGAACAAAACCCCGGAGACTTTATCAACACACACTCAAATAAAAGGCAACGCCCCCTGGGGACCGGAAGAGGAACAAAACCAGTGTGGCGTGTGGCAAGAATCAAAACACTTCTTTAAAACTTATGATAAAACAAAGGAGAGGGCAAAAAAGATGGAAAATAGAGTTTGTCTTTGTCTATGTAGGTGTGTGTGTGTTCAATACAGCTACAATG